AACACGTATCCTTTCTTTGTTTCTACACAGTTACAATAATAAATAAAAAATGATTGCCATGCAGGTTTGAGGGAACCCAGGCACCTGTTTCTGGAACAGTGGATGGGTGAATACATGATGATAATGATTCCCTATTTTTTCTTTTGATTCCCAATTTGTTTTAACTATTCACCTGTTCTTAGCATTGTCATTGTTCGTTTTTCAGATTTTTTTTTTTAATTCAGTATTATACTTCTATTATCTGCCCAACAGCTATTTTTATTTGTTACAGTTAAGTGTAAATTTACTAGGTGATACATACATAAATTCATACAGATATTAATTGAATGTAATCAGTTTCTGTTGTTATTAATTTGACATGCACAATTAGGTCACATTTTTCAGAGATTGATTGATAGATAAATCTCTGAATAAGGTTTCTAAATCACACTTATTCAAACACACTAAATCAAATTATATTGTTTCTTTTTTATTTGTGTATAACCAAAATTCAGAAGGAAAGAAAAAAAGTTCAGGAAAATAGAATTTACTAACAAAGTAACAGGAAATTAACAGAATTAACACTTTGTTGAGTCTCCTTTACAAATTATGATTTGCCATTGCAAAAGGAAGAAGAAAGATGCATGTAGGGCGAAAAACAGGTCAGTGTTTGGCTAAACACCTGAGTCGCTGAGTAGCCGAGTTGTCATACGGCATGATGCGGAAGGATGGGCAAAGAGAAAGGATTGTCTCTCAGACTCGTTCTTGTTGAGATAACGGTGAAGAGGGAAATTCTGTATTTCCGGGTGTAACCAACATGTTGTCAAGGTTTAATAACAGATTACAGTTCACCTGATTTGAATCAGACTATCTGATTGGAGTTCAAATCATCAATCTCGACATTTGACCCAATTCAGTGAAATCTTAAAATTTGAAAGTAAATTAGGTTTATCTATGTGAGAATTTTCTGCAACCTTCTTCCTATAAGATAACAATTACCGAACTTTTTCCTTTGTAGTGGTCACCTGATTACCACTAGCCAATAGACGTGAAGATTCTTTTTGGATTTGAAAATCTTAATTTAAAAGTCATGAAATAAAATATTTCTGATAAATTTTTCGTAGTCTTGTATTTTTTTTTTTTTTTGAAAATTAGTTAGTTTATCAAGAATTCCTTCTTAAATATTTTGTAAATAGATAATCTAGGTAAACCAAATCTGACATTTACTTATGCAAGCCTTCCTTCTAAATAGATTTGTAGTCATTTTGCTAAATCTGTTCACTGACACAATGTTTCCTTAAAAATAATATTAATTTTAATAAACTTTGTCTTTATAGTATAATCTTATCTTCAATTTCAAGTATGGTATTATCATTTGTTAATATCAATGTGCCCAAGGTGTAAAGTTGGGGCACCGCTAACTATAGCCTTAACGTCAGCACTTGTCTTCTCTAATAATTGAGAACTTAAACTGGTGGTCCAATTTATGCATCTGGCTCAATACACACTTTAAAGAGTCCATTGCAAATTTTTGGTTAGATGTTGTATAATAAGATTACTTAAGGTTTTGTTTTAATTAAAATATTTAAAAAAAAAAATATTTATGAGAATCTTCCATATTTTAAGATGGAATGAAATAGTGAAATACAGGGAACAGTCTGTGTCTGCATTCAGCTATTCTTCTGTCCTTGATCCCTAAAATCTGTGTCATCCCCTTCCTTACCTTTTTCCGTGAAATGCATTTTTTATAAGCTGTCGTCTTTCCATCAATGGTTATTTTTTTCCCAATCATATCCCTTGACTGCTTCAATTAGTTTGTACCTTTTCGTCATTTTTCCATTCCATAATAACATCCTCTATTTTTTTGAATCATTACATCTGCTTCAAAAAAAAATTTCAGTCTTACCCCCCACGTTTTTTTTGTAAAGCCTGAATACTATACGAAATTATAATAATCACAGAAAATTATATATAAAATTTTTGTGATATAAAATGAGCTTTTGAACACAACGTATAGCTGTATGCAGATTGAAGTTGGGTAGGAGGCACAGTTCTTTTCTTCTCCCCCCTCCCCCAAAGAAAAAAAAATGAACTATTATTCAAAATCCAGACTTAAAGTACCATTTCTGGTCATAGAGGTGCCATAATTGAGAGAGCTTCGTTCAGTTGGCTAAGTTGATTGTAGCCACTGTGTGTGTGTGCTGATCCATTGAAATTTCTAGGCCCCCGGTTTAATTTCCATCTCTGCTCTCTCAAATAAAATGAGACGTTTAAGCCGTTGGTCCTGTGTGCATCATGGCCCACGTGCATGTTAAAAATACAGTCTTTAGAAAAAAGTAGTAGATTGTCTCCCAGTGTACTGTCCAATCACCTTCAGAAGGACCCCACTGGAAGTAAGCCTTCTTCAGAATTTTGTGGGTTTCCTTGGTGATTTACACCGAATATATCTAATCCAATCAATAATCATACAATTTCACACCTCAGCGACAACCATGGTGGGGATACCCTCCATCTGTCAAAATACCGCCCTGGGCCCCATCAATTCTGAATTCCTGGATCCGCCACTAATAGCATTTTTCTGAGCACTGTAATACCCATGATCAGCTAATTTCAAGAAGATAATTAATAGAGTAATAATAGTATCAAACATTTGTAATTTGTAAAGGATGATTAGTTGCCAAGAGATTTTTGTTTGCTCACCGAAATATGGGAATCGTACAAATTTTCAAGCGGTTCCTTCAACTCATGCAAAACTTGTGACCCTATTGCACAATTAAAATGCATTTTAATAAAAGGCAAAAAAATTATTAATAGTAGTATCTGACAAAATGGCACTCTGAAGATTAATACAGTAACATCACATTGAATATGTATGATATACAAAATAATAAGTTTTTATTAACATATTAATTGCCAATTAATAGATGCAAGAATTATCATGACCTCTCACCTATTGATAAAGCTAGCAGCTGATTCATCTCAGGTGCTAATTATTAATGATTATCCATTTTTGTAGCTGTTGCTCTTTTTTTCAGGTGTTTCCCTTTTAGTAGACTCCCTAGTCTATTGTGTTTTTTTTCACACACATGAACCAGTTTGAGGTCATTCAACTCAATGGATAGATAGTGGTCTGGTGGTTAACCAGAGCGCTTGTAAATATTAAGTTGGAGATAAGATAAAAGAGTTAACAATGTGCCAAGATAAGACAATAGGTTAGATGTCTCATGTAATTGTTTACTAATCATATTTTGTATAGTGTAAGTTATTTGATTAGGTCTATGTTGTTTTCATGCAGAACCACTACTTGTTTGTTTACTCAGATTGGAACCATATTTAATGAGAGTGAACCATCCTGCAAACAGTGGGATCCACAACATTTTTACAATAGGGATACGGAAGTCACAGAAACATCTTCCACATGAACAACAAAATATAAAGCAACTAATTATTAACAAACATTTATGAACTTTTTTGGTAAATAGAAGTAATAATTGTAAATTGGAATATAATTAGACCAATTACGGTACTGTAAAATCAAAAACTTTCGGGAATTAATAATTTCAGCCGTTTTCGCGACATTAAAATTTTGTGAATCGCAAAACGCCCTAGATTTGCTTTGTATCATCGTCAGAGCGAGTTTAGGCCTTGAAATACCGATTTATACCGACAATTTCTGCTGTTTATTGTTCATCTTTTAAAAAATTGAAATTAATTTTTGCTGTAATTCAGTGATTTTTAATGACCAAAATCTCATTTCTGAAACTGATTCAAGCTCAAAGTGTTTGATATACTGTATTAAATTATTGATTGTTTTTTTGCGACATAAAACTCGCTATTTATGACTACTCATGGAATTTGCAGGAATTTTTTTTTCACAAATTTTTCTGGTTTTACAGTATACTAAAATTTAGCAATCATGATGATAAAATTTACAAAATGTAAATAATAGCATAACTGACAACAAAATCAATGTTTTTATTTAATTTTAGCTGATTGGCTAACCTGTTTATATTTTGAGATTTAAGATTTATTTGAAAAAATAAATAAAACGTCTTGTATTTCTAGAACCCTATTCATATTGTAATAATTTCAACAAAGATAAAAGGTACGGTAACTTAACTTGGTAAAATCTTACCACTGTTCAATCTTTTAAATTTTTTAACCCATAAGTGTAAACTACTTGGACACTATTAGATTTATTATTAGCTGAAACAATAACAAAATTAAGAAACATAGTTTCGTAGTATAGATGAAATAATAATAATATGTCGTTCTCATATAGCGCTTAATGCCTTAACAAAGCCTCTAAGCGCTTCACATTATTACCCCGGTCATTGGATCAAACACATATGGAACACATTAAACACTAAATGAAATTATTAAATTAAATTATATCTCCATAATAT